ACAAAACCCATCCCAATCCCAGTTTGGGACATGGAGATGGAACAAAACCCATCCCAATCCCAGTCTGGGACACGGGGAAGGAACAAAACCCATCCCAATCCCAGTCTGGGACATGGAGATGGAAAAAACCCATCCCAATCCCAGTTTGGGACATAGAGATGGAACAAAACCCATCCCAATCCCAGTTTGGGACACGGGGAAGGAACAAAACCCATCCCAATCCCAGTCTGGGACATAGAGATGGAACAAAACCCATCCCAATCCCAGTTTGGGACATGGAGATGGAACAAAACCCATCCCAATCCCAGTTTGGGACATGCAGATGGAACAAAACCCATCCCAATCCCAGTTTGGGACACAGGGAAGGAACAAAACCCATCCCAATCCCAGTTTGGGACATGGAGATGGAAAAAACCCATCCCAATCCCAGTTTGGGACATGGAAATGGAACAAAATCCATTCCAGCCAGGAAAATTCCCAGGATGTTGTCCAGGAAGTGTCATTGATGATCTCAGGTTGGGATGGGGCCCGCATCACATTCCAGGAGCATCCCACGGGATAATTGGCTCCTCCTGATGCTTCAATCCCGTTATTTGGTTTCTTTCCAAATTGTTTTTCCCCTTTTTTGCCTTCCCAGGAACAAAATCTGAGGCTGAGCAGGAGAGGGAGACACCCAAGGTCATCCCGGAGCTTTTCCAAGGGCTGGACACGGAATCAACGCTCCGGAGCTTTTTTGGGATAAACACGAGCTGGGGGATGAGCTCATCATTTCTGGGACCCGGAGCATCCCAAACAAGGTCATTCCAAGGTCATTCCCAGCAGGAATCCACCAGGAGCCGCTGGCCCACGCTCAGGGATCCACTCCGGCTCTGGAAAGGGATTTTTAAGGTTAAACCCAAAATATTCCTCTTCGCTCTGAGCATTGAATCCAAAAGGTTCGTGGCTCATTCCATGGGGTCAAATCCCACTCCCAGAGCTCCAGATCCCAAATTTTCCATCCACATGGACAGAGGGCCAAGGAGTGGTGTCCAGCCCTGGGGGCCGGCCCCTCCATCCCATGAATTCTTTATTCCTTCTGCACAATTCCTCATTCCCTTCCAAAATTCCTTTATCCTTTGCAGAATTCCTTATTCACTCCACAAAAATTCCTTTTTCCTTTGCAAAATTCCTTTTTCCTTTGCAGAATTCCTTATTCCTTCTGCAAAATTCCTTATTCCCTCCTCAAAAATTCCCTCATTCCCTCCGCAAAAATTCAGTTTTCCTTTACAAAATTCCTTATTCCCTCTGCAAACCCCCAGGAAAACCCCATGGCGGGGGTCCAGCGCTATAAAAATTCCCATGTTTTCCCAAACTGGATGGTTTTGGAGACCTTTTCCAAGCTTGGTGGCTCCTGCAGGGAGCGATTCCCAATTCCCAGTGCCTGGCACGTGTGGGATTGCAGATAAGGAAATTTCCCTATTCCCAAGGCTCCTTGGCCGTGCTTTTCCCGCTGATAACGGGAATAGAGAAATTTAATTTAATTGAATGACTCCTGATCCTTGCATTTATTCCCTGGAATAAACACCTGGAATGAGCAATTCCATGAGGGAGAGAGGGGGGGAAAGAATAATGGAAAGTAAGAGAGGATCACACGTTTATGGTTGGAGCAAGGGATGCTCCAAGTCAAGGAAAATCGGGAATTTTTGGACAGAAATCGGCTCCACCTGGACCAAAATTTCCCTGTGCTGATCCAGCAGCCAGGAGGGAACACAGCATTCCCAGAAAATCAAAGAGGATGGAGGAGGGAAAAGCACAGGGGGGATAAACGTGATGGGACCAGGCTGGAAGCGACTCCAATGCCTTCTCCCAGCATCTCCCGGGGGTTGGTGGAGTGGGAAAAGAGGAAAAATATGGAAAAATTCAGCTCTGGGATGTGGATTCGTGGACTGAGTGGGAAAACGCTCCTGGAGCAAGATGGAGAAGGATTCCCAAAGTAACCAAATTCCATCCATCCCGGAGAATCCATGATTTCCCTGCAGAGACGGGATCTGGGGAGGTGACATTCCAGTCTTGGAAGTGGGAAGCTGAAGGATCCTCTTCCCATTCCTTGCAGGAGTTGGAAAATTGGAGTCAAGGCCAAGATGGGACACTCTGGAATGCGAGGGAAAGGACAATGCCAAAACTGATGATTACCCTTCAAAAAACATGGATTTATCCCAAAATGTCCCAAAAATATCCTAAAAACCAGGCTGGGATGGGGGGAGGGGGAAGGACAATGCCAAACCTGATGATTATCCTTTGAAAAACAGGGATTTATCCCAAAATATCCCCCAAACCAGGCTGGAACAGCAGGGCACGGAAGGACAATGACAAAACCGATGAATATCCTTCAAAAAAAACGAGGATTTATCCCAAAATATCCCAAAAGCAGGCTGGAATGGGAGGGCAGGGAAGGATAACGCCAGGAATTATGATTATCCTTCCAAATCCAGGGATTTATCCCAAAATATCCCCTCGGAGCCAAGACCTGGAGCTCAGGTGGGTCCAATCCCAGCTCTCCCAGTTCCTCCTGCTGTTCCGCGCGCCGAATCCGCCGTTTTTTAGGGAAAAAGGAGCCGGATTTCCCTCCAATCCCAAGGGAGCCCTAACTCCTCCATTATCCAGCTCCCAAATCCCTCCAAACGATCCCATTAATTTCTCTTCCCTCCTTTTCCAGCCAGCTCATCCCGTTATGTCGCTTCCCATTTTCCTCCCGGCCCATTAAAAGCTGGAATGAGGCTTTTAGTCCCGGTTCCAAATGGAACAATTCCATTGATTCCCTGGAATTCTTCTGCCCCTGAANGTGGGATTGCAGATAAGGAAATTTCCCTATTCCCAAGGCTCCTTGGCCGTGCTTTTCCCGCTGATAACGGGAATAGAGAAATTTAATTTAATTGAATGACTCCTGATCCTTGCATTTATTCCCTGGAATAAACACCTGGAATGAGCAATTCCATGAGGGAGAGAGGGGGGGAAAGAATAATGGAAAGTAAGAGAGGATCACACGTTTATGGTTGGAGCAAGGGATGCTCCAAGTCAAGGAAAATCGGGAATTTTTGGACAGAAATCGGCTCCACCTGGACCAAAATTTCCCTGTGCTGATCCAGCAGCCAGGAGGGAACACAGCATTCCCAGAAAATCAAAGAGGATGGAGGAGGGAAAAGCACAGGGGGGATAAACGTGATGGGACCAGGCTGGAAGCGACTCCAATGCCTTCTCCCAGCATCTCCCGGGGGTTGGTGGAGTGGGAAAAGAGGAAAAATATGGAAAAATTCAGCTCTGGGATGTGGATTCGTGGACTGAGTGGGAAAACGCTCCTGGAGCAAGATGGAGAAGGATTCCCAAAGTAACCAAATTCCATCCATCCCGGAGAATCCATGATTTCCCTGCAGAGACGGGATCTGGGGAGGTGACATTCCAGTCTTGGAAGTGGGAAGCTGAAGGATCCTCTTCCCATTCCTTGCAGGAGTTGGAAAATTGGAGTCAAGGCCAAGATGGGACACTCTGGAATGCGAGGGAAAGGACAATGCCAAAACTGATGATTACCCTTCAAAAAACATGGATTTATCCCAAAATGTCCCAAAAATATCCTAAAAACCAGGCTGGGATGGGGGGAGGGGGAAGGACAATGCCAAACCTGATGATTATCCTTTGAAAAACAGGGATTTATCCCAAAATATCCCCCAAACCAGGCTGGAACAGCAGGGCACGGAAGGACAATGACAAAACCGATGAATATCCTTCAAAAAAAACGAGGATTTATCCCAAAATATCCCAAAAGCAGGCTGGAATGGGAGGGCAGGGAAGGATAACGCCAGGAATTATGATTATCCTTCCAAATCCAGGGATTTATCCCAAAATATCCCCTCGGAGCCAAGACCTGGAGCTCAGGTGGGTCCAATCCCAGCTCTCCCAGTTCCTCCTGCTGTTCCGCGCGCCGAATCCGCCGTTTTTTAGGGAAAAAGGAGCCGGATTTCCCTCCAATCCCAAGGGAGCCCTAACTCCTCCATTATCCAGCTCCCAAATCCCTCCAAACGATCCCATTAATTTCTCTTCCCTCCTTTTCCAGCCAGCTCATCCCGTTATGTCGCTTCCCATTTTCCTCCCGGCCCATTAAAAGCTGGAATGAGGCTTTTAGTCCCGGTTCCAAATGGAACAATTCCATTGATTCCCTGGAATTCTTCTGCCCCTGAAATGTTCCTGGATGTTCTGGGAATGTGGCGTTTTCCTCCTCTCCAGCCCCACCCGAGCCTTATTCCCTTTTCCTCGTGCAAAATTCCTTTTTTTCCCCCTTGACAGAATTCCTTATTCCTTTGCAAAATTATTTCTGCAGGATTCCCTATTCCCTCCACAAAGTCCCTTATTCCCCCTGCAAACCCCCAGGAAAACCCCATGGAGGGGCTCCAGAATCCCTTATTCCCACCACAAAAATTCCCATTTCCTTTTGCACATTTCCTCATTCCTTTCCAAAGTTCCTTTTTCCTTTGCATAATTCCTTATTCCCTTCACAAAAATTACTTACTCCTTGTATAAAATTCCTTATTCCCTCTACAAAATTCCTTTTTTCTTTACAAAATTCATTATTCCCCCATAGAATTCCTTATTCCCTCTGCAAAATTCATTATCCCCTCCCAAAAAATTCCTGCTTCCCTCCATAAAAATTTCCTTTTCCCTTGTTGAAATCCTTATTCCCTCTGCAAAATCCCTTATTTCCCCCACAAAAATTCCCTATTCTCTCTGGAAAATCCCTTTTTCCTTGAGCAGAATTCCTTTTTCCTTTACAAAATTCCTTATTCCCTCTGCAAACCCCCAGGAAAACTCCACGGAGGGGATCCAGCGCTGTGAAAATTCCCATTTTTTTCCCAAATTTGATGGTTTTGGAGCCGTTTCCCAGCTTGGTGGCTCCGGCAGGGAGAAATTCCCAATCCTAAAAGGTTCCCAAAGGTGCTGGGAATGCGGCGTTTCCCTCCTT